CCTGAGGCTAGGCTCGGCCTCGCCTGAGGCTAGCAACTGGCTAAGGAAGAAGAAAACGAGAAAGAAAGAAAAGGAAAAAAAAAGAAAAGAAAAGAATAAATAAATATTAGTCTTTAAAAAAGAAAAGAAAAATTAATAATAAAAGTAAATTGTGTTTGGTAAAGAAGATGTGGAAGATAAAAAGTGGAAAATATTTTCCTCACTTTTTTTTGAGTGGCGCTTTTTCCACTCCTCTCTTGGCTCTCATACTCCCTTTTATAGTGTATTGGCTATATTACCCTTGCTAAAAGTCAAAAGTGGGGCTCATTTGGGAATTTTTTAATTGTTTCTTTTTTTCTTCCATTTTCCTTTTTCTTCTAAGTGGTTTTGTTGATTAGGGACCCACGAATCTGAAGATGACGCCGTCTCCCGCAATGGTTCCTTGACGAGAGTGTCAAGTTCTTTATCCCCCCGAATGGCTAGTTGCAGATGCATCGGGATTATCTCACATTGAGGTCTTGCTCGCATTGCCCGTGGGCTCAAGCACCTCGATCATTCTATTTTGATGCTTGGAAATCATCATGAGAATCAAAGAATCGCCAGAGAGAATTACAAGCCCCCTCTGCACTGGTAAAGTTTTGAGTCATCATGATTAGCGTGGTTAATCCTCGTCATACAATGGAGGTTCAACGCCAAGGCCAAACTCTACAAGGAAGTCTTGCTCTCCTACCTATTCCTCGCTAATAATCTGAACTACATGGTGGAAAAGGCGAGATCAATGAACCTCAAGTATGCAAGGCATGCGAAAAAGGTGAGGCAATATGCGGCGAGCTATGCGACCGCGGCGTAGAACAAAGTCCACTCATCGCTGCCAGAGGCAGCATCCGAGGGATGATTGCTAAAGGTGGCAAGGGCGTGTCTCCAGAGTTTGACGCAACGTTTGAGGAGGAGTACCAGAAACAGATGCCATGGACCGTGCCGGACAAGAAGCTAAGGGAGGAGATAAAGCTGTCCCTTGTGTTGGCATCGGGATGGTTCTACCAGATGCGCCAAGAGTTTGTGAGGGGCAATGGCGAGGTCGAGGGGAAGCTCGTGCGATTCTGTAAGACCGCGTAGTTGTTGGTGTGCATGGAGGTCTTGGAGGAGGAAGAGGAAGCCGTATCGGCGATACGCATCAACACAAGAGAGAACAAGATGAAAAAAAGTGGAAGAAAACAAAATGAAACAAATAAAAAAAAGACCTCAAATGGGCCCCACATTCGATTTTGGGAGATACATCATTCCAAGGTGGAAAAAGTGCGGAGTAATATAGTTAGTACAATGTGAAAGGAAGTGTTTGAGCCAAATGAGGTAGAGGTGAGCACGGTTTCAGGGTAGAACCGGGAACCGAAGAACCGAACCGGCGGGTCCGGTTCGGTTCCCGGTTCTAGGGTGGGAGGTTCCGGTTCTTGGTTCCAATTTTTTAGGAACCGCCGGTTCCAGTTCCAGTTCCCAGTTCCTATAGGAACCGGAACTGGACCCGGAACTGGACCCGGAACTGGAATCGGAACCGGCACTCTCTCTCCTACTGAAAAGTAAAAATCCTAACATTCTTAGTTTCTTTCCAAATTTCCTCTCAGTTGGTCGCTCCTCCATTGCGCTCTCTCTCCCACTCCCCACACCCACGAGTCAACGAGACCCTCTCGCCTCTCCTTGCTCTATTCGGCGTCTGCCTCGGCTTTTCCTCTGTCTTCATCAACCGCGGTCTGGCTCGTCCGCGGCGGAGGTGGTCTTCGCTTCACGGCTTCAACCGACATCCTTTGTCTTCGTCTTCGTTCGGGCTCACGCACCGCCGCACACGCACCCTCTTGAGCTCGCTATCTTGGCTCTTCCTCCTCTTGTCTCTCCGCAAGATCGGCGTCGCTTCTCGTCGGACGTGGTTCCTCTCCGGGCAAGGTTCGTGTCAGCCTCCGAGTTTGAAAAAAAAACTGGTAACACGCTTGTTCTTTTTCTTTATTTGGGTTAAGCTTGAGGGAGGGGATAGGGGGGAAGGAGGGTTGGAATTCAATTATTCAACTTCTGAATGTTTCGGACCCCAGACCCAAATCCACAAAACAAATACTTCTATATAAGTTACAGAGATTTATTTCTGATTTGAGCAGAACTGAAGAATAGTACTTGCAATTTTCATGTTGGTTGGGTGTCTATTGGGACTCTGGGAACGCAAAGTAGACATTACTATGCCAGAGAGCGTACATAAGTCATTCCAAAAAAACAATGAGCAGACTCATCCGGTATCCAACATCTCGGGGAAGCAACTGATTATTTCTGTGTTTTTTTCCAGATTCCGTTCGATTGCGCTACTGTAGAGGTTTCTCTGAGCATTGATTCGGGAGGAAACTTGTAGCTTGCAGACATAACTTCCTAGTTGTTTGCTTGGCCAGTGTTGTTTGTTTGATTCGGGAGGAAAATATTTTGAGTGTGTCTTAAGCCTTTGGGTTTGCAAATCCTTGCCAATCTTCCTTGGGTCATATCTGCTCTGCTTTCCTTGTATTAGATGTGCTTTAGTATTATTAGAATTCTTCGGTTTTCTTGTTGCTCCTGCATCAAAAGATTTTAAAGTGTTGATGGTGTCTTATAGCGGCATATGGTTCATTGGTTTGTATGTTTTAATTGAACATAAATGTTTAATTAATTCTGTGATGATAGAAAAAAGAAAAGATTTCACTAACTGACAAAGAGTTGAACAGTTGAGGTGCGCATTTTTTATGTTTGGGGATGATTCCACTACAAGTGTAAAGTTACATAGTGCTTGGCTATGGTGATGTAAAGACTGGATCTAAACTTATGTAGGGCATGCATCTGGTCATTTTTTTGTCAATATTGGAACTTCAAATTTATGTTTGGCTGCAGCATCTTGCTAAAGTGTGGCTATTAAAATTCCCATTTGTCAAACATGTTTTTACATGGCATAAAATACTATAGTTGGGACTCGGGAGAATTGAGACAAGACAATTGAAAATTTCTTCTCATTTCATCTGCACTTAATTTATAGTATGTCTCATAAGGTCCTCTTTCCATTTTACTCTTTCGTTTTGATTTAGGCACTATCTTCTTGACTTGATGAGAGTAACTCCTTGTGTTGCAAACTATACCGGACCTGGATCTCGATTTTGTATTTTGAGATAGGAACTAGTCACAGCTTTTTGCCAGGTAGCTCATGCTATTACTGTAGTTAAGTGGTTCAGCCATCTTCATGATTTCTTACTTAAAATTTTTCTATTGAGAAGGCCCAGTCGCAGGGGAGATCGAAACGAGTTCAAGCTCGATACTCGTCCGTGACTCACCAACCGATTCTTTAAGAGTTGCCGAGAGATAACGGGCTTGGGAATGCTGATGCGGTGTTGGAGGATTTTCCGACAAGAAGGTAGTTACCCTATCTTTCCCCTTCAATTGGTATTGGGCAATTATAGTTTAGTTCTATCCAGGCATTTGTAAACTTGGCATTATATCCCCCAAATATCACATCAGGGCATTGTGTATGTATCATTCAGATGATCTACTATTGCATTTATTTTCGTTTTGTTTAATTCAAAACGAAATTAAAAAAAAGAACTTGTTGGAACCTGGAATCGACCTTGGAATCTGTGACAGGGTAGGTTCCACGTTCCACGTTCCGACGGGTAGGTTCCAGGTTCCTCATTTTGAGAAGCCAATACCCGAGGGTAGGTTTCAGATTTCAAGCGGAACCTACCCGGAACCTAGAACCGCTTACCCCTAAAATGAGGAGTGTTGACACCTGATTTTTTGCCTATTTTTTAAATTTTCTAAAATTCACAAAATTTGGATTAATAATCTTGGCCATGCTTAGGAACCTATTTCTAAACAAAAAAAAAAATTTAGAATTTTTCTTGAATTTTTCCTTATTTTATTTTGGTCAAAATGAGTGAAAAATCAAGAAAAATACCAAATGGAACTCAAAAATTCAACAAAAATATCCATTGGCCTTATTTAAATTCTAATTTCATCATGGTAGCTTCAATTTTGTAAAATTTCAGTTGGGGATACGTTTTTCCCAAAATTGGGTAAGTTCATACCCTAATTGAATCAAAAATTCGATTGAGTCGCTTTTAGTCATTTTTAGGTCATAGTGTCTTCACAAAAATTGATTATAGGACCTTGAATTGCATATTGGTCAGTCCAATTTTACAATTTAACAAAATAATTGGAAAGCCCCAAAAATTAATTGAAAACTAGGGATTTTAAGACCCAAATTGGGAATTTTATACAATTCAAAATTTTCGAAAAAGACCCATACCTTCCCTAGGGTTAATAAGTCATGGGTAATTCAATTCTGGCATCAATTTTGCCTAATTTGGTCATTTGGGCACTGAATTGAACAAAAATCCTATTGATCTGAATTCAAATTTGGGAATTTTTTGGTCTAATTGTGACAAAAATTGGTACAAATCTCATATTCTGATGCAAAATGTGCTAAGAAATCTAATTTTGGGGTTAAATTTGCAAAATTGGGTCAAAATCGGGCTTAATTTGCGAATTTGGACTAAAACGGGCCTACTGGTCAGTCGGATCAACCCGACCCGACTCGGGTCAGTCTTCTTCCTTACCTGACCAACTCGCCCATGCGGGAAAAGAGAAAATATCTCCTTGGGGCCGCGTTTTCACCGACTTACTCCGGTGAATCCAGCATGTGTTAAATGGATTGGTTAGAACGGTTGTCCATCTTGATCCGTTCTAACCCACTCAGAGGTCGGTTAGAGCAACAATCCGACGGGAAATCGAGCTAGAAAAGGAGAAAAAAATCATTATCCGCATATACAACCTGTTCGACGAATTGCCAAAGAGAGAGAGAGAGAGAGAGAGAGAGAGAGATTGAACAAGAGGGCGAGTTGAGGATCCCTAAGATCGAGCGATCGGCGCAATTGGAAAAACGCTAGCAAATCGGTCCCGACGGTGAATCTTCTCACCGAAAAACCTACAACAAAGCTGATCGCCGAAGCTTGAAAGTGAGCTCCGGCCGATCGATCCAGAACCTTCATGGTGAAACGGAGACCATTGGCTGAGAGAACAAGTGTTGAGGAATCACTCTATGATCGTTGTTTAGTTCGAAGTTTCAAAATCGAGTCTCATCAAACAAGGTAAAGTTTGCTCATAGTCACGGTTTGATAAAATTCCAAAATAGATGTTTGAACTCGGTCATGCTTGATTATGTCATTTTCTCTGCGATTTTGAGAATATTAATGTTCAAAATATGTTTCTGATCACAAGTTTTATTGTTTGTTGCATTTTGAATGATTGAAATTGCATTTGACTGAGTTGGCCACCATGAAACCCATGCCGAAGCTTCTCAAACTTCATCGGAGCATTTTTTGTGGCCAATGGCCGCCCAAGTTAGTGATTTCCAATCTTTATTGATGTTCTAATGAATGCTTTAAGCATTAGAAACGGCTAGGGCGTACCGTGTAATGATCTAAAGGCCAGAAAAGCTTGTTTTGATCAGTTCTAGGTTAGGTTCTTTAGGATCGATTTTCACCGGTCGGCGGTGGTCCGGCGACGAACCGAGAAGGTTAGATGGTTAGGGTGCGATGAGAGGTTGATGCAAAACCTAAAATCGACGCCGTAAAATCATCGAAAGGTCGTCGGAATTCGATCCGAAGTGGCGGCCTTGATAACAATAAAACATAGAATAATGCCCACCAACTGCTCGGCAAAATGCCGCAGTGAAAAAGGAGGAGAACGGCGCCGTTTTGTTACTGTGCCAGCCGGGGTGCTGGCCGGCGCCAGTGCCGGCCGGTTCGACTCGGTCGAGCAGGTTTGAACCGGTTTAGCCCTTGGTGGGAAAAATTTTTAAAAATCTATAAAAAAAAATCCAAAATTTTTAAAATATCTATAAAAATTTAAAAATCAGAAAATTCAAGAAAATCCTAAAAAAATAAAAAAAAATTCAAAAAATTCATTAAAAAAATCAGAAAATTCAGAAAATCCTAAAAATATGTAAAAATTCAGAAAATTCATAAAAAACGGAAAACTCGGAGAATCCTAAAAAATTAGAAATTTTACAAAATTAAAAAAATCAAAAATAAAAGATTTCAAAAATTCACATAATAGCTTAGAAACCTGTAGCCACCCAATTTGAGTAAAATTTGAATTTTTTGAAGTGCCCAAGTGATATTTTTTAGAATTCTTCAATTTTCTGAATTTTTCTTTGGGGCTTTACTAGGGTTTTGGGTGTTTTGATTGACTTTACATTTTAGAGACAAGTTTAGGATTGTTTTGTGTGATTAAAATTGATTGTGCATTTAATCATTGATTGATAGAATTTTTCCGATTAGAATGGTTAGAATTAATGGATAGGCCTTGCGAACTTGTGGGACACGTTAGACACTTCATATTGTTTTAGGTACCGAAAGAGCGTTAGAGATCTCAATTAGAGATCATTAGCGTAACCAAATCTCCGTACTCATGTAATCTCTGGTTCGCAGAATCGTGGTATTTCTCCCATACCTCGATTAGGTTTCTAGTCAACCTACCAATAATGACTAATGGCAACTCCAAATCAAAACTTAGGTTTAATAGAAAAGATTAGAAAATAAATACCCACTGTATCATGAAGTATGGTATGGGAGAGACCCTCGTTTGTCTAGTGATGAGATGTTTATGGGTCATTAGAGCAAAATATCTGTTTTGGACCTTAGTAGTCTATTCGGGGACAGTTTCCTCATTTGTGACGAACGAAAGTATCTCCATAGGCGCGCGAAAAAGCGCCACACGATAGGCTTGGCAACTTTACTGGGGACTTTAGCTTTCTAAGTGGACTTAGGCCTAGATTAAAAAGATATGCATGTGTTTGGTGCTCGCGCAAGGATCCAAGGTATGTCTTACTAACAATTATGTTAAATAGTTTTGTAGGTGAGAGGTATAAGGAGTGTTGTCTTTGTTGACATTTGTTTTGCAGGATGGTGTTAGGAATAAATGTGAAATGATTATCATAGAAGTGTTGTTTGGATATAAATTGTTAGCACGACACCATTTGCACACACCACCCGTGGCCCAATCTTGGCTACATTTAGGACTACTCTTAGGAGGTATGCATTTAGGCAAAACTATGGGATGATTGTCCATGGGATTGTTTAAATGCAATACCGATCACCGAGATGGAATAACATTCCATTACTTTAGGCCGATTGCCTATTGGAATGGAATCCCTTGTCCATTAAGGTGGTGACCTTAAACCTTTAGCCTACCCTACCCTTAGGCGTCAAAACCTCACCTGTTACATCCGTGTGTCTTTGTGGTTGGTATACCAAAAACCAAAAAAAAGTGTCTTGGTGAGTAAGTATCGTTCCTTACCTTTCTCTTTTTATTATGCAAGTTAGTTGGTATAATTTGAACAAAATCCCTAAATGACAACCAATGGTTGATCTAAATGCCTTTCTTATACTAGAATGAATGATTAAGGTGGCATGCTCCATTAGACCATCCTTTTACTTTTAGATGGAATGTATAGGTTCATAGTGGATTTTCAATGTAATTCAAGTGGTCATTGTCTTTCAAATTGAAAGATCATTTTCTATGTGCTCCAAATGTGATAAATACAATTCAGTGAGTCAAATGTTCATTTTGATATATTCAAAGTTGTAAACCATAAGTGAGGGTCCTATGGTCTAAACGGAGCATGAAAAAGGGATATTTACATCAAATATTGATTTCATCTCCATTTTCAATTGTATGCTCTTTTAAAGAATAAATGGACTTAAAGTGACATTTGTATTACTTTTTAAGTATGCAAATGTACTTTACCTCCATTTTACCTTAAAAAAGATATATGATTGAAATGGAGGCATTAAAAATTGATTGGTAATCTATAGTGAATAATAATGAATCTCTTTGCATGTTTAGACTCAATGGGAAAGCTAGACATCCAAGTAGTTCCCATTTCTCAAAAGGAACTTACTGCTTGGTGGAAAGATAAGTCCAAAGACAGTCAAGCTTATGTCAAAGAAAGGCTCGGGTATCTTTTCAAGCTAATACATGTTGAGCATCAAGTTAGCTTACTACAAGCTTTAGCCCATTTTTGGGAAGTTTCTACCGCCACATTCCAGTTTGATGAACACGAAATGGTGCCAACTTTAGAAGAGTATAGGACCGCCATTGGGATCAATTCCAAACCTAGGATTGTAGAGCCACCCGTTGGACTTAATCCCGTGAACGTTTTAGCCGAATTCCTTAACTTAAAAACTCCCAAAGTCAAAAAGTTGGTCAAGTCAAACACGGGTAGATTTCCTTTATCCTTTCTAATAGCCAATTTTTCAAAACTTCCTAAGAAAATGGGAAACACTTCAGCTTGGGTATTCATTTTAGCCTTTTTTGGCTTCATTCTCTTTCCCGTATCTAGAATGAGATTAGATCCCTTAGTTGCCGTAATCGCAAGACAAGTATGTCTCAAATGGAATTTTTTAAATATACTCCTTGAACAAACCATCATTTCATTAAACAAGTACCAAAATCATGGGAATGGTGTATTCCAAGCTTCTACTAGTCTTCTCTTATTATGGTTCATTTCGCATATTCGACCATGGTGTCGCTTCATGAACATTCGCAAGATTAGTTCAGAGATAAACCCAATAGAATGATATGTTCGTCTCCAAAATAAATTACCCAAACACTCGTTCTTAGATTGGGCCAACTTCATCAGAGCCCTAACTCCTGATCAAATCCAATGGTAGATCAATTAGCCAAAGATTGACAAGGCAAGGATTACAAGCCAAGTATGAAATATGGTGCCATTGCTTGGATTGAATGGAGCAACTACATATTGTCCCCTAGGAGTTGTTAGACAATTTGGGATGCTTCAGCAAGTTCCCTCGGTATCAAATCCTGAAGAGTTCACCTTTGACATCCCAAATGGGACTCTGTCCGAAAAGGAGAAGAATAGCCTACAAATGAAAGTTCGCAAGATTATCCAATCTTTGGAGCACTCACCCAAGCAAGCAATTGAGTGGCCAAAATGTTTGGAAGGCGAGATGAAGATCTACATGGCATCCAGAGAATACATTAAATGGATAGAAAACAAGCGACCAATCGACGTGGAGCCATATGTACCATTGAGCATTACATCGGATCCCGACAAGCAATATGTTCCAAAGTATTTTGTTCCAAACATACCTGAAGTGGAGCCCTATGTCCCCGAGGAGGTCATAATTGATGTCGAGGAATGAGAATCCCCAATCAAGGAATGAGAATAATACAAAAAGGCGGAAGTTACCTTAGCCAGCAAGAAGCCTGGAATTGGATGAGCTAGAGTTCTCATTAGAGTTTAGAATCATTTGTTGAACAATCTCAAATTCTATATGCGATAATGAAGTGATCATTTTCAAAATGTGTCTGGAAAGGTTTAGAACATGATTTGAAAACATTAAGGAATCACCATGGATTACAATTATTTGAATTGTATGATTACTTAAGAAAGACAATGATAAGGAATTTAGTATAAGGCTAAGGCTTGTATAAAATTTTTTATCCTTGTTAATCATGAGAAACCATACAATTGAAAGAATGTAGGTTTACATTCTTATTTTGCCATATTAACACCTTGTTTTTCTATTGACAAAGGTTTTCTAGCAACTGAATTGAAAAGACCCCGAACTCGTTTGCAAACTAAAATGGCGGAAGAGGAGACTCATAATGACTTGCTGAAGTCGAAAATCAAATGACTCAAATGGCCGCCATGATAGCAAAGATGAAGGCCTTTATTATAGCTGCAAGAGGATCTTATCCTATGGCTCCTAATGCTAATGCTCCAAATGTTGAAGAGACCTCAAATCAGAATCAAAACAAAGAGCCCGTTTAGGAAAACCCGCTGAAGACAACACCCAAGGTGGTGAACTTAGAAAAAGACGGAACTTCAAATAAAACCCTCTCTAAAACCAAGGATGAGGAAGAAGCCAAAAGACCAGCCAAGATCGAAGAATTTTTAGCAAGTCAAGGCTACGAATTGCAAATATTCGATAAATTCTCGCCATATGCAAAGGTTGTTGTTCCAGAGAATTACAGGGAACCGAAGTTCGTAAACAAATATGATGGAACTGGTTGTCCCAAAAGCCATTTGAAGTATTATCTCCGTAAGATGACAAGGTAT